TATAACTTCAACTGCTTATAAGAAAAATGTGATTTTTTAACCAGTTGTAGCTCATATGTAGTGCTAGTGATATATTACTATTTGAGACCTCTATGCCGATAGAAACGAGCAATGTTTAGTATGTCTTTACTAGTGCTCGGCGTGACTGCCGTGACCGTGCATGGCTTTTTTCAAAGATGGTGACCGTGACTGGAGCTTGGTCACGGTCAGTCGCGGGAATTTTTTCCGAAATTTTGGAAACCCCTGATGGAGAGCAGGGGGCCTTTGCGAAGCTATCCATCGCTCCCTCCGATCATTCGTTTTTATGAAAAATTGGGAAGTTTGTAGTATTCGTGATTTTGGAAGCCCCTCTAGAGAAACTTTCTCAGGACTGCGATTCGACCTATATTTCCTATAATTCCTATATTTTATCAAAAAAAGGAGAAAATTTTCGAAAAACTATAAGTTTTGCTTTTGTTCTAGGATAATGTTCAGAAGTTGAACAACATATATAGTGTGGGATAATGTGTTTTGAACAAACTCCTACATTAGGATGACATTTTTAAATAGTGTTATTCCGTACTGAATGCACTACTGGTTTTTAGCTTTAAAGATTGGTTTGAACTGATTTTCGCCTTTTATGTTCCATCAGCATAAGCTTTCCAATTGACTCTGTTTTTCGAAAATTGATTAAGAAACACATGAAACAATTAAAATTTATCTTTAAAATTTGAAAAATTAGATTTATATTGTATTCAATTAGTGTCACTTAAAAAGGATTTTTCAGTTGAAAACAAATTAAATTACGTTAGATCTTTTCTATTTTCTTGCACAAAAAAAATGAAGTCTTTATTGGACGAGTCTGAGCGACAATTTTCGTGGCTTCGTACTTTTGTCTAAATTTTGTGGACTGTGTTCCTTATGATGAGATGAGGACAGAGTTTTTCGTCCTATTGTGTTTGTAATATTGTAGCACTTATTAATTGTTGATGTTCCTAGAAAAATGGCGTTGGACCTGAACCAAATTCAAGAGAACAAAAGGTCGAAGAGATTTCGTAGTAGAGTAAATATGACCCTTGCATAAGGGTGTCTTTTATTAAAGAAATGTTGATCTATCATTTGTGACTTTGATATGACTTTACTCTGATATTTAATGCTGTACCGAATGGTATATTAAATAACTGAGAAATTATCTTAATATTGTAGTCTCTGACTCTTCTGAAAAATACTGAAATTGAGAAGTTGCGAAATCAAGGAAAAGTTTAACCAATTCAGCTAAAAAATTCAATAATGATTACTTTCATTGTGTTGAACGTTTGCTAAAAGTTTCATATGGATGAAACTTCAGTTTCTAATTGGGCCGAATTGTCAAGAAAAGGTTCCCAGCCTTTTAATCATGACAAATAATATTTGAGGTTTTTTCGTTTTATCCTTACAAAGTTTATGGTCTCCTTCTTTTCAATATTCATTGATTAGTGAAAAAGATTCTAAAACTTTAATTAAAGTTCCTATCGATATTTGATTTAACTATTCAGTTCAGTAGAAATGAATCAGACAAGAATCCTGATGGTGAGCCCCCTGTTCTTGCTTGTTTCATTAGAAAGATATCAAGTAAAGAAGTTAACAAAACCAGAAAAATTGAGCAGAAACAATGTATAATTAATTCTATATTTACGTCAGTTTTTATTGAAAACCCTATATTTTAGACAAACATGATCCTTTAAGGATTCCTATTTTTTTAAAACTTCGCAATCGATGGCCAGAACTTTCTGGAAAGCTTTTTCATCGTGACGAACCAAACAGATGGGTAGTGACGTGATCGTGACCAAAAAAAGTTGGTCACGCCGGGTGTTAGTCTTTACAATCATTGAATTAAAAGGTACGTCATATCTAATTTGTTAATATACACCAATTTTTCTAAGAAAATTAAATTAATATGAAATAATAGCAATAGAGTTTTATTATGAAGTAGTTAAACAGAAAATACAGCTTATCACGTTGCTTATTTACGAATAGGATATTTATTCAAGTTCACATTGCACAGAATAGAAACAACTTGTACGATTTTAGTTATCTTCTGAAATACATCAATAGCTCCTCTGTAAACTCTACTCAATATAGCATAGGTTTTGAGACGTTGATTGATATTTTCAATTACCGCTCTTGCACTATTAATATCACGATTGAACTTCTTGCTCTCATCTGTTAATTCACGTCCATGAGGCTTTTTCTCTTGAAGTGACTACATAGTCTTCATCAATATATCCTTTATCAGCAATAATTTTCATAGAGTCATTTACATATTCTAATAGTCCTGACTCTCTTAGAATTGTAATATCATGTACACGTTGATTATAACATTCGGATATATGTACTATTCGATGATGAAAATCGCAAGTTATTTGTATTTTGAATGATAATATGTTTTACGTTGATCTGAATCATAAGGTTCAGAAATTGCGACGAAAGTCGAATCAACTATCAATTTATGATATTGTTGTAGCCCATGTGCTGTGTTGCTGTTAGCTATATCGACAGGTAATGAAATTAATTCTGAATATATACAGTCATGTAATATATTCACAGCCGTAGATAAGAAATAATTCACAGTTAATTGATGTAAATTCCAATCTGTAGCAATATAACGTTCAGAATGGTAATGCTTTAAGTATCATAATGTAACCATAAGCAAATTCATAGGAGATAAATATGATGTGTTGGTACTATTTGTAAGTTGCTCGTTTCTACGGAAACAATAATTTATAAGTGATTGTTCACACATATCATACAATTGTTGTACCTGTTCAACATCAAATCCAGTATGTTGTACGCAGGATTCATCAGTTCGTCGCCATTCCGATCATGAACGCTGTTCTACAATGAATCAACAAAGAAATATATTAGTGATTAGTCTTTAACTATTCTGTAGCACAAAATAGTAGAATGAGAAGTGTGTACGAAGTGAGAAGATTAATGTTACTTACTTTCATCTAAAGCTTGAAATTGTTAGCAGTTTGCTTTTCTTCCATTTTCTCTTGTTTTTCTTCTTCGATTTCTGATGTATAATAACTACAGTTGTCATGGTGACGATAATAATGCGTATATAAACCAGATCTTTCCGAACGAGTGCATGTCTAACTTAACATCGAATGACAGATGGTACAATATTTTCGACGATCAGTTCTGACAAATCGACATTGAGAACAACTCCATTCAATTTGTGGAGAGAACATAACAGAAAGATGTTAGCGTTTGTTATAGAGTAGAAACGTGTTAAAGACAAGAAAGAACGAACAAAAGCGAGAAAAAACCTTATTATAATGAGAATGCTGTGATTGGAACACAAAGATAGGATAGAATCAATTAAATTTTATCGTGTACGATATATATATCGTGAACAAGGTGTTAACAAATTAGGTGTGAAGTAACTTTTAATTCAATGATTGTAAAGACATACTTAACATTGCTCGTTCCTATCGGCATGAAGGTCTCAAATAGTAATAGATCATTAGCACTACATATGGGCTACAACTGATTAAAAAATCATATTTTTCTGATAAACAGCTAAAGTTATATGAAACGGATATATTTTGGGGTACCTTGCCAGCTGGTCGCGTCCATATATATGTATGAATAACTCGAGAAGTCTGATTTATCATCGATTGTTATATTAGAATATTCATCTATGATTTATCTTTCATTGGTTTATTTTTTATTTCGGCATTGTCAATATATTCGATATGTTTTATTAATTATAAATAATAGTTATATTAATTAAATAATATATATGTATATATGTAAAATAAATGAAATTCTATGTTGAATATAATTGATTTTGTTTTTATTATCTAAAAAAAGTGTTAACCTATATAATAACATAATAGAAAATAATATGGAGAATAAATTATTTGGAGATTTTAAAAATATTCGAAAATAATACTGATAAAATCTAATAAATAATATTTTATTTGTAAAATAATAAAATAAATTAATTTGAAATAATAGCTATTCAAATACTTAATATGGTCAATCTTCTCCTTTGTTTTGTTTTTTTCATTGAACAAAGAGAATGTCACTTAAATCGTTCGATTGACAATATATACATTCATTCATTCATTCATTCATTCATTCATTCATGTTGAAAAATTAATCAATGTTTCTTTTTGATCGGAAGCAGTTATCTTAGAAATATATAATCGTTTTTGGATTTGTTATTTTTACAGAGAGAAAAACAAACAAAGTCGAATATACATTAGATATATAAGAATGAGTGGTTTGCTTTTATATCATTATAATATCAATCGAAAGAATTTAGTTGACTATGCATTATTGAAATAACGAGCAATTAGAATAAAAGTTAAGTATTCGAACAAAAAAAAATAAAAGAAAAGATATTTATTATTAATAAAGGAGAAAATGATATTGTTAATTCATTTATCGTTTTATTTCGTTTAATATGCTCAATAATATATTTATTTAGGTTAATTAACGACAATAAATTTAAACGAAAATATTTAAATTATTGTTTAAGTTAGTTTTTATAGAAATAGAATTAGCCTTAAAAAAATATAAATAAAAACATATTCTGTAAATCGTTTATTCTGCTTCAATTATTCCAATATGTTTTCATTTCGGACTCATTCATCTAGGATCGGATTATGACATTATACAATCAATATATTATACATATATATATATCATATTCATTTTGGCTTAACTCTCTCTCTATGTGTTTAGGCTAACTTGGATTAAAGAAATAAAATAAATAAATTAGTTAATATGAATATGAATAAGAATTCAATGATAGAATACATATATATATAGAATTGAAATAAAAGATTTATTTATTATTAAAATAATGCAAATATGTCAAGGATAATATTAAAAATAAAGATTTATTTATTTAATTTCTTGTTTGTTTTTAAACCTATCAATGATAAATAAAATTGAATGAAATAATTATTTAATGATAATAATTGATAAAATAATATAAATAAAAAAGAGAAAAAAGAAAAAAAAGTTCACAAATGGACGTGTTTGCTACTAGTTACAATTAATCCATTCGATGTTTGATGTCCTTTATTAGTAACTGTTGTTAATGATGATAATGATGATGTATCATCATAATTTGGATTTGAAATTTCTTTAACAATAAGTGAATTTGTTTTCGAATGATATTGATCTGAATAATTTGAATAATTATATGATATATCATTTAATTTATCTTTTCTCTCTAAACAATTTTTTATTTGAATATTATTTTCATTTAATTCTTCAATATCATTATCATTTATATTTGACATTTTTCTTGTTTTATTATTATTTATATTTGAATTTTTTTTTGTTTTATTATCATATTGATCCCATTTTCCAATATCATGAAATCTATCACCTATTCTATTATAATATGATGTTAATGAATCATATGTTGTTCGACGATCTTTTTTACAACATATTCTTAATGGATTATTATTACATTTTGATAATAATAAGCAATAGGTTAATGGAGATATCGAAGAATTAGACCATGCTAATAACAATAAATACCTATCGACAAAAAATTAAACAAAAAAAACATTTTTTTGTATTATTATTATCAATAGATCAGTCAATATCCGATTGTTTTACCAAGCTATTTATTCCAAATTTAACTTCGACATTTCATTTTAAGGTTTTTTTTTCGAAAAAACAAAAACGATTGTTTTTAAAATAAAATAAATATATATATATATTAACTGTTTTATTCGACAATAGCTAAGAGAACTCTCTTTCTCTCTTAATATATATATATTAAATGATTATTTACATTGAATAAATGATGAACATTGTGTCTATATTCCTAATAAATATTAATTTTGTTTTTATTGGACAAAAAACAAAAAAAAAAAATAATCGAATGATTATTTATTTTAATCTAAATAATTAAAATTGAAAAAATGATATTCGATTAAATATTATATATTTATTAGTCAATATATATATCTATATATCTATCAAAGAAATAAAAGTTTAATTAAATCTGTTATTCCAATAAAATAATCATCATTTGGATTTGTTTATTTTCGAAATTCTCTTAGATTTAAAATATATTTATTTAGTTAATATAATAGATCTTTTTGATATTAGATTATATTTAACAAAAAAAATCTTCTTCTATTAAAAATAATCTATGAAAGAACATTTCAATGATTTGTTTTCGAAAATTCAAATTCTATCTATAATATACTATATATATATATCGAAGAGAGAAATAAATAAATAATATAAAATAGTTATCTATCAACGATATATTAACTAAAAAAAATCTCTTCAAAATATTTTCGTTATTTCGATTTATTTCTAATAATTTAATAAAATAATATATTTAAAACGAGATCGAATTAAAAAGTAAATATATATTAAAATTAATATTGTTTTATATTGAAAAATAATAAAAAGATAAAAAAAAAGTCCAAACCTTAATATTTGTTCATGTATTTTGAATTTAATGTCACATAAAGTAACAATAAATAATGGAAACCAAAAAATAATAAAAAGAAAAATAAGTAATATATTAAGTTTAATTCTTAATTGAATTTGTTGCATAAGTATATCTCGTGTTGCAATGGATTTGGCATGATATTGACCAATTATAGCTAATGATAATAATGGTTGATTATGTCGACGTTTTGATGATACTTCACTTAAGATTTTATGTATATATCTTATTGTTATCATTAATGAAAATATTGTTATTATTATCCACATTAATGTTAAAACATAACCACGAATATCTCGAATAATAAAATTACAATATTGACCATTATTATCAAAATAAGATTTCGATTCACTACCAATCATTGTTATACCTTAACAAATTTTATTTATTTATTACATTTATATATCAAACAACTATTTTATATGATTTATATAAGACAATAACAATATATATTAATTAAACGAAATAATAAATAAATAAATTTGAGATTTTGAAAAATAAATCTAATTATATTTATCTTATTATAATTGATTTATTCTCAAAAATAAAAAACTCTAATATATTATATTGATCAGTTTTCTTGTTTTTATTTTTATTCTTATATTAAATTGACAATATCGCGATATAATTGAACATGTTAGTTCGATTTATATATTGATTATTGCATTCAATTGTTTTGGTTTTTTCTAGAAAGATTTATCGTTGGATTTATTTAATAGAGAAGATGTTTTGTTTTTGTTTTTGTTTTTAAAAAAACTAATCAATAATAATAATTAATTAAAATATTCATAGAAATCTCTAGACAATTAATAAAATATATTTAATTAATTTATATTTATAGTGTTGCTTTTTTCCTTTATGAATATATAAATTAATTATTATTGAGAATTTTTATCTTATTTAGTATTTTGATTTTGTTTATTTAAATATAAATAATAGAAAATAAATTTGAAATTTCGTTTAAATTTAAAAACAAATTCTTTTCTTAAGAAGAATATTAGATAAAAACAATTTTAAAAGAAATTTTCGTAAGAAAAAAAAAATAAAATAATTTTCTAGATAAAATAAGATAATAATTTGTATTTGTTTTAAGTCTATATATATCTATATAGTGAAAAGTGAAAAGTGAAATGTTTTCTTTTTATTTTCAGTAAATGAATAAAAAAAAAACGAATAAAAGATGATATCCTACCTAAATGAAGTATAACAGAAGAAAACCAAATAATTAAAATTCCAAAAGAAAGACAACCACATGATATTGTTGATTTATTTGATTGTTTTAATTGATATTGATAAGATTGTGAATGTGAATGTGAATGTGAATGTGAATGAGAATGAGAATTATTTGTATATAAATCTAATGATAAATCTTGATGAATAAGATCTTCAAATGTATATGCTTCATTAGCAACCATAGCAGCCATATTTAATAATTGAGCTGTAACACAAGTAACTTGAATATTTCCTAAATAATGACATGGAATTGAATAATTTGAAAAACTTAATATATATGGAATTGATAATATTGATAATATTAAACAAATAATACAATGATGAAATAAAAAACATGATGATTTCATTTTATATGCTGCTATTATTAATAAATATATCATTGTTAACATATTTATTAATATTCCACTTATTCCAATAATATATAACAAATTTATTTCAATTGATGAGACATTTATTAATTTTATATTATTTCCATTCATATTTAAACTTATATTCACATTTGAAGACATTTTTTTCTTTTTTAATTTTTCTTTTTTTAAAGATTTTATTTCATTTTTAGATTTTTAATATTAAACAAATAAATAAATAAATAAATAAATAAAATAATTTAAAATACTTGTAGGTATATATATTTATTCGAATAATAATAAATTTGTGTTATATTTAGTATATATTCGTCAACCAGTACTTGTCCTTATTCAAGAATAATAAAATGTAACCATAAATGAGACAAGGACGATGCTTATTCTTCTTTTTCTTTTTCTTTTTCTTTCTCCTTCGTTTTTTCTTCTCTGGAATAGAAATATTAATGATGAATAGAAAGCAATGATTCTTATATTGGTCGAAGAAAAAAATCTTGAGGAAAAGAAGAAAAACGAACGATGTTCTCGCTTTTCTCGGCATGTTGTCAAATGATCTATGACGATCATAAGACGGATTTTTTTCTTTTTCTTTTCCTGTTTCTTTTTCTGTTTCTATATAATAATGCTTGTCTCGATTTGTTGATAGTATCCTTGTATAACATCGTCCAGAAAATCTTTCCTAACACACGTCTCAACATGATTGACGAAACGAGAATAAGTCTTTTAGTATATACGGGTCAAGAGACATACATCTTCAAGTAAGAGAAAGGAAAAAATTCAAGCAAAAGGAAACGATCCATCGTTTTTTTTCTTGTTCTTTATCTCTATATGTGTCTATAGATTGGTAATCAAGTGTAAAAAAAAACCATCGTCGACTCTTCTCTTGTTTTTCCTGTCATTCGTTCTAGGAGATCTTTGTTAACTTTCTTCTTTTTTTTTATAGAAATATTTATCATCGAAGAAATAAGAACAAGAGAAAAAAATAAAAAAAAAAAAGTCTTTCATAAAACATGTTCTTATTAAATATTCGAATAAGATTATATTCAATTATCTATCCTAAGACATTAAAATAATATATCAACATACTTTCATTTATTTACAGATCATACATCAACTTTATTTTCACAACACTTATTCGTCTTGTGTTTTTTTTTTGTTTTTTTCTTTATTAGAATTTTTTTTCGATATTATCCGCAAATAAATAATTTTACTCGAACAAACTAAGACCTACAAAGATGTTTACAGTCAAATATGACATGTTAATCAAGCCAAAACTACTCTTAAATACGCAATCAGTAATTAACTCGTATCTATCGTAGAATACAGCAACTTTATCATATATTTACAGGGAAAATACGTTCTTGTTTACAGATACTTATAATAGAATATGTCTCTCTCTCTGTCTCTCTCTCTGTGTAGGATAAAGACACTATATTATAAATGGATATATAATCATTCAACAATAATCAAGAAAAAAAAACTCGTATAACTACGAAGTATTGATCAATGACTCAATTTTTTATTGATGTTTATATTGATCGAAAATTGATATATGATACATTGAAATCTACAATAATATCATTTAATCAATAATAAAACACACATACACACACAAATAAAAGACTTTAAATAAATACACTTATTTGTGTTTTTTTTTTATATTGAATATGACAATAGATATTGGTTTGTCAAAAAAAGAAAAACTTTATTTTTATTGAACAATTTTTATTCTTATTTGAACACTATTGAAAACTATTATCAATATTAAACATAACAAATATTTGACTATTGAGAAAAAAATAAATCTCATTTTCTTAGTTAACAATATTTATTTAAACAAGATCACTTTCAATCTAACCGAACCATTTATTATTATATATTCAACAATAACAAACATAATTATTCTATATAAACAATAAATTACACAAGAATATAGACAAGTTTTTTCTTTTTGTTTTTGTTTATATCTGAAGAAGAACATTTGAAAATAAAATTTCTTTATAATCTTCATTTATTCTACGTATATCATATTAGGAGACAAAATCAGTTTTTATCATTCAATGTATCTAGAAGATAATATTAAAGTGAAATTATTCAACTTTAATTATTAAATAAATTCAGAATTATCTTACAAATTCAAGACTTCAAGTTTTTGACCATGATTATTATTATTTATCATTGATCATATTCTAGAGTATATATGCACTCTTAACAAACTCATCATTGCATCTAATAATACGATACTATCACGTACTTTAATCAACTATAAAGAAATATTAAAATAAAAGAGTTCATTTCATTTCAATAAACATAAATATACCTTTTTTATTCATAAATCATGTTCGACATTAAGTTAAAACCTTTTTTTTTTCTCTGAAATTTAAAATAGATTTCAATATATATGAAAATGAAAGTGTTTGTTTCTTCTGCAAAATCTGCATAGTAACATTCTGCTTTTTGGACAAAGTATAGAACAGCGTGTATTTTAGCAATATATGTTCTATACATAGAATTTATCAGTGCATACTCGTCATGGGAAATCCTGCACGACACTGGTAGATACAGGTAAATTCAATTATGTCAATGCTCGTGTTGACTGTCTTTAATAGAATATATAACATCAGAGATCAAAACGAATGAAAGAATATTGATTCAGTTCAATTTGTTTCGACAGTATTTATATTTGGATTCGATTCAGTTTCAGTTTTTACACTTCATAGATAGCAGTTTCATCTTACTATTATCAAAAGTAAAATTCTCTCATAAATAAAAATATCGAAAACAATTTCTAGTCATGTCAATAAATACAAATATTGAAAATAATTGTTTATGAAAGAAAATATTTTCTCATATTCACTCTCTCACTCTTACCTACACATTATCAACTTGTTTTTTCTTTTTCAATATTTTCGATTTTCAATTTTCGATATACATATTGATCTTTCCATCAAAGTAAGATTTAACAGATAACACTGTCAAACAGTGAACAATTTAAATGAGGAAAACGATGTTACCTTTACCTTACCTGATAATAGTTACTCAAGTAAATGATACAGTTTTCGTTCCTTGGTTAAGTAGTTGATCAGTGATGATAATTGACCATCATTGTGTTCAATCGAAGATAATTAAACCACTACATAACCAACCAATTGGTGAATGGTGAATTATTACTAAGTTAGTAGTTGATCAATTGATCAATAACTTGTATAATTGATAACTATTCAATTTCTAATTATTTGTTTAGATGATGAGAGCTTCTTATCCGTAGAGTACAGGGGTAGACAGTCATTGGTATCTATCAGATGCTTTCGTAAAGAATTATATGGTGATGATGATCATGATAGTGATTGCGACGAAACATGTTGGTTAGGCAGGACACAACTGCTCACAAGGCTGGTATGTGTCTAGATTTAAGAGTAACTTGTGTTTGAAAGAATTCTGATTTGACTTTGGAAGCAGTAAACTCGAAACTCGAAAATAGGAATGGTTGGCATTGTAGACTGGCTCATATCGATCCGTGTCATAGCCGTCTATGAATTTGTAAATTTTTCGAATGAGTTAAAAACTGACGTTGAGATTATACAAGAAATTTTATAAAGTTTTTCAATATTATATCAATAAAAATGTTACAGACGATATCATGTTGACTATTGAAAGTTGTTTGAATGTTTGCATTGAATCGAAGTAGATCAGTTCAGTAGAAAATTCTATTGATAAATATACACAGTAGACAAGTAGAATTAAAAACAGTCGACTCTTTTGTCTTTAATGAATTCATTGTTATTAAGACGTTCTTTTCACATAAATTAGTGCATCAAACAACATGAATACATCATATAAAAACCAAATAATATGACATGTTAGATAATATGCTTGTTAACTCAAAAATGTCCTTACTTATATTGATCATGTTCGTGCTCAACAAAGTCATATTGGTGATATCGGAGCAGATTGCATCTTTGATGCACTAAATTCGCATAGATTAAAAATTTGGCCAAATAATTATCAAGATCAATTAGTTACGGGTGAATTCTGTAGGTATGAAACTAGAGAATAAGCATATATACAAATATGCAACATTGACCAAACAATTATCTATTGCAAAATAAAAGAAAGATAAGAACTTTTGAAATAAGTTTTCATAGGATCAAAATAGATCCTTGCCATATTCACTATTTAAGTGTAACATGGATGAGTGATTATGTGCTCATCACCTAATCACTAGTTACTGAGTTCAAACCTCAGTATCATCAGTCATGTAGTGACCTTGGACAAGTCACTCATGCATAATTGTCTCGAATCTCTCTAGCCAACAATATAGCGAAAAAAGAAAAAGACGATAGAAACCAACTATGAGCGAAGATAGTAGAAAACCATACCGGTTCAGACGTCATCCGGGTAAACAAGGTCCGCGTCCTCTGCCAAGTAACCAGGGCAGAGTCGAAATATTGGCTACTGGAAAAACCACAAACATTAACAACACGACAACGAACACGCATAAATTAGAAATAATCAAAGACACACTGACAGTTGGAACGTGGGATGTTCAGACGCTATGGACATCTGAAAAATTAGAGTTGTTAAGAAATGAGATGACGAGATTCAGGTACGATATAATTGGTATTTCAGAAGTACGCTGAACAGATAAAGACGAAACATGAAATGGAGACTTCATCTGGTCAAGTGAAAACAATACAAACGTAAGATGTATAGGATTGCTGCTAAGCACGAATGCCAGGAAGGCATTCATAGGATATAATAATCCGATCAGACATCCGCAGAGGAGGACATCGAAGCGTTTTACACTACTCTCGAGGACGTACTAATAAAAATACACAAAAAAAGATATAGGCATCATAATAGGCGACTGGAATGCAAAAGTTGATAGCAATAATACAGGCTGGAAACAGGTAACAGAAAGATATGATTATGGCGATAGGAACGAAAGAGAAGAGTATCTCCTAGAATTCGCAACAACACACCATCTGTACATATGCAACACGAGATTTCAACAGAAATCACAACGAAAGTGGACTTAGATATCACCAGATGGCGTGCACAAAAACATGATTGACCTAATTCTCATCCAACAAAGATAGAAATCATCAGTCATCAAGTGTAGGACATTCCAAAGTGCCGATATCTGC